AAACGCGTGAAGTAACCACGCAAGCAAGAGCGCAATAACGTGTAGTAATCATGTTACACAATACTTGACAAATGAAAAATTCGACTTTAATGCTTCAAACTAAAACGGATATTAGGGCAGTAGGAGGGAGGCATCTCTCCGGGTCCCAATGGCTCATAATCTTCTGGGCTTAAAATTATGTTGATTGGTAATTTGTATTGGTACCTGTAATATTTAAATTTTTTTCTTGTTTCTACTAACGGGCGTCGGGGCCTGTCACCAGTGTCTACCATGTCTACCACTATGGGCATGGTAAATAGGAGCACATGGTCATGGTCGTGCGAATGGGAAATATGGATATATTTTGCTATCGCTGTATTTAAAATAAGCCTTTAGAACTATTTGGTACGCGGAAAGCAAGAAAAAACTTTTACATAAAATCATTTATGGATATAAGTGCTGTAATAAAAAATAATATGCTTTCATTGTTTTATTATACTCAATTAAAAACGTTTAAATTGGTTTCGTTTTATATTTTTAGAATTTTAAAGAATCTTTTCCGTCGGTTAGGACCCTCGCAACCATGTATTTACCCCTGGGCCCTTTCTTAATCCGGGCTTGTGCACCGATTATCAGGATGTCGGGACGATGATATACATATATGTTTATATAATCATTTCCATCGCCGGATCACGAATTAATCGCTGTTGAGCAAAGGTTAAAATCGGTCGAAACCGAGTTTACCGAGTGGGCATATTAATAGACATCCATTATAGCACTATAGCTTTCATATTGAACCGCTGCCGCGTTGTCCATACAGTAACCGATACGGTGTGTTATAGGTACATCGGATCATCGGACGCCCCGAAAATAATTGATGCCGTGTCGTCTCCGACAAGCCTACCAGCTCCTAATGCCTCACGCCTTTTTTTATTTTTTGCTTCTTCCGACGACCATCATCGCACGACGCGTACATCGCAGTAGGTTCGAAAACCCCTCGAGACCCAACACCCATTACACCGCAGTTGCAGATCGAATTAAACGCGTGCACGTCGAACGACTACCCGTCGATTGTAAAACGTTTCCACGTAATTGAATAAGTGTAACGGTCGCGCGCGTATATTTAATTATGACGAAAACTGGTTTGAACCGATTTTTAATATAAGTCCTACGATTTTTATTTCGTTCGTTTATTTTTTTCTTCGTGATTTACATTTAGCTCACCGTAACCGTACGAATTGAACACGTTCGACACACGTATATTGTACACTGGATAAATATTGTAAACTTGATTCGTTTACGTTCTTCTTGAACTTTACGAAACCGTGTAAGGTCGCGTCCGCGATATGTACCGCGCGCGTGTGTGTAAAATCAATATTTTACCTCGAATTGCGCTCTAACTACTGCGTGCCGTAATCGTATTACAACGTGGGCGGCGGAAAGGACATGAGAAAAATAACGCCTGCCAGGCGCACGTGTAGGCAACTCAACGGTGAACCCGTGACCGTCGTGTGTACAACGATCATGATAATACAGTTGTTATTGTGACGAACAAAGATGTCGTTTCGACGCGTACGGTAATAATCGTTCGGTCACTGCGAGTCGTATCCTGATCACTACCAATGGTTTATCGTCTGCATTCGATTGCGACGCGGCTGAAAAACCGATTGCGTCGCGCAAACCGTCCGAACAGACGTACCTGTTTGAAAACAAACTTATTAATATTTGAATAGATAATTCTATTATAAAAATGTGAATGCCGAATGTTTCGATATCGATGAAATGTAAACATTTCGTACCTCTGTTGAATCATATGCCAAACCCCGATGGCCTTTAGCAATTTCACTTGTTTCCGTACTCATCTCTTTTTTTATTTATTTATTTTTTTTTTTTTTTGCACGTAAAACACGATTATTATTTTGATTGCAAATCCAAAGTTATAGACATATGTTCTTCGTCGTGCACCGTATTTCTCGTATGTCTACTGGAACGATACATTTCGCTTCCGATTGCGCAACAAGGAATGTATTCTTCGGTGAACTACATTCGTTGTCGTCTTAATGTGCACGTGAGTTTTCGTGTTTGTGTTGCGAGTATTTTTCAAAAGTATCTATCCTATACGGCTCTTCTTCGGTGTTAGTTATACTGACGGGCATGACCAGTTTTGCTCCCTTGTATGTGATTTCAATTCACTACAATCCCGAGCGAAACGATTTCTGAAATATTACGTTATCATTTGAGTACGCGACATTATTATGAGCTGCATCGTCCCGTTGTGCGCAAAATAGTGGAAAAAACCCAGCAGTCAAAAGTAAACAGAAAAAACTTTAAAGCGTAACTCCCCAAAAATCTATTTCACGTTGATACGTAAGAAGTTTTTTTTTTTCAGCACCGCTCACCTGCTTACTTAGTCAGGGTAATATTTATATATGTATCGCAAAAGAAGTGAATTTGCAGCAAAAAATAGGTTTCACGTTATATGGTTGCCGTTAGGGCAGGTTGATTCACGTGTCTTCGAGTTTTTCATTATACGGATCGGGAAATAAACACAAATGGTAAGAGATAATAATCGTAGAATAATTGCAAATTAAATTAAATATATTTTGAGAGGTGCATTTCAATGTGCGTTATTTGCAATAGCCGTGATGATGGATTAAGAAATTTAAAGTGTTGTCTTACGGTTTTTGACGATTTATGTTCTTACGCCTAATTTCGAATACTTTATGATGTTACTCATTTACGGCCGAAACATTTTCTTCATCGACACTCGTTATTATTATAACTAATTCAGACAATTGTTGATATTATTATTATACATTAAAAAATTATACGATATTGTTTTTCTGGTCGAATTTCGACTACTGGAATATACTGTAGTTAATTATTTATTTTAATTTCGTGTTTTGTTTAACGCATGAAGAAGAATAAAAACACGATTAAAATATTGACACGGATTTTTTTTTTTTTTTTGAACACCAGTGCTGGTTTTGGAATATTTATTTTATTTAATGTTTGAAGAGATTAAAGATTTACATTCGCATATAGGGTTCTAGTACTGTTATTCCTATCGGATTATTTCTACGTATGTATATATATAAGATACTTCATTGACAAATAATTTGTTGTGTGACTACTTCGTGTAAAAACTATATACTAAAGTAAGTCGTGTTATGTTTAAAATAAGTTTTCGTGTGGAATGAGATATAATTGCTTTCAAATTTTAAGCTACCCGTTTCAATGAAACACTCAATTCCTATGGTCTCACCGAACCACATATCGTTTTTGTGTCCTTCTCTTTCCATCTTCTTAACCTTTATCATATTATGTAGTTTTTATTTGCAAGTGAAATTAATTTTGATTTATACGATCTACATTGAATTATATTTGTAAATTAATTTGAAAAAAAAAATTATATTAAATAAAAATGTATATCTCAGTGTCAAACATAAATTAAACTTTGTAGGTGCTTACCTACCTATACAAATTTAATGTTGAAACTATTTAGAAATTCATTTTTTACTAAAACGATACTATATACTATCCACGATTGATACTAGAGTCAAATTGTTTAAACTCTTTCTTTGTGATGGTGTACGCTCTACGTACAAACGATCGCCAAACAGCACATAACGATAGATCAATGGAGTCAAAGTCAATCTAAACTTAAATTGTCAAGCCGTGTAATGACATAATAATTTGTAAATGCGTAGGAAAAATTGAAGAAAGATAGATGTGTGGTTTTTAAAAATAAATTTGTTTGAACTTAATAAAAAACGAACTACAGTAGTCACTCGATAATTCGAACCTCGACAATTCAAAAAACTCCATAAATCGAACTAAACGTTTAGTCCCCTGAGAAAACCTCTATAATTAGAAGAAAATACATGTATTCCAGTCCCCTCGATAATTTGAAATGTCTGTTGGTGGGACTCACTCTACAATTCGAATTTATTTTTACAGAACCTCTATAATACGAATTTGCTTTAACGCGGTTATACGTATGTTCATATGTATAAAGTATATTCATATGTACATCTATTAGACGTACTCGCAATAAAATGAATAAGGACGGAAATTAAATATTATCGTAGTTTAAAAATTTTATCGTACCTTATCTACCTAATCTAGACTTAAATCGTATCATTTTACCATTTTTATATCAGAATTGCGAACATTTTTCGAGCATTCTGAAATGTACGAAAAAGGATGCGATACAATTTCCAATGCTATCAGTAAGTTAGATAACGCTGTGGACCAGATTGTGGCCAACAATTTAACATAAAAAAAAAAAACAAATTTCTTTAAAATGTAAAATATAATAATATAATAAATAAATTTCACTTAATAAATGTAAAATATAATACATAATATGCATAATAAATAAATGTCAATTAATAAATGTAATATGTACGTATAATTTTTCGCCTCTCTTTAATTCGAATTAATTTTTTTCCATGGATTATTCGAACACTCGGTAAATCGAAAACCTCCATAAATCGAATTTTTAGCTTAGTCCCCTGAATTTCGAGTTATCGATTGACTACTGTATTTCTCTTTATATTTACAATACTCGTCAGTTATAATTTAAAACAAGTATTCTGCAATCGTTAATAGATCGCACATGATATTGTATTAATTGTCTGGAAGCCGTGCAAATTTGCTAAGGCTCAGCGACCAGAGTATGTGGATTAACGAATGCTTAACCGGTAGATCGTTATTACAATAAGAGCACCGCTCTTACACAAGCAAGTATACTCTGGACAAGACCGGTCGATATCAGCTCAACATATTGCCCCAGGGATAATGCTAATAGTAGTTTGTGCATATGATCAATACAAAATGTCGCTCTCTCCTTCGCCTTGAAACAGATTTTTGACGGAAATAAAACGAAAATAATATAAAACTTGACCTACATTAAGCACGAAAAGCCTGAAATGCATCGACCGCGTTCACGTGCGTGCGAGTGAGCCTTAATGGCACAACATAATGCAATGACGATTCATATGTCAGACGCCTACATGCAATGCGTGTACGCGTTATGCGTTCAACGGAATTTATCATCGGAGACACATAATTTTAATACCAGAATATCAGAATAATATATCATGGTCGATACTCGAAGATTTCAAGAGCAGATACGAAACGTATGCGCACGATCCACGTACAGGTAACACAGCGCGTGGCGGTAGACGGTGTTGGTTTACATTTCGGTTTTAACCGGTAAACACCATAAGCTTATACAGGTATATTCAATGCACGTGTACATGTCGGGGCAGCGCAACAACACGCGGAATTCTGCGTTTAATGGAGTGTTGATCGTTGTGTCGCAGAACAAATATTTCGAGGGGGTGACCGGAGATCGCTGGACATCTGGCAGTGTTGGCGATTGTCATTGGTGCGGGGCTCCTGGTGCGATCCTGCAGGACGTGTAACACCGCACGGTTCATCATGGCTATACTGATTTTTCTGTATCATAATGCAGATACCGTTCGCTAACTGCAACAACGAGCACGGGTAATTAGCCATTATTTTATTTTTACGCACTATATTTTATGCCTATCAAGGCCGACCACATGAATTAATTCTGTTACTATGTTCTTTTCGTCGCAACACCGCAGCACGTGGCGTCTGCGTGACACGCCATCTGATTAATATTCGGTAATAACGTGGACGATGAGACTTGAACGTTGGCCAAGACTGAAACTGGTCTCGAACGGCTGCGATTTCGTAATATCACGATATTATATTTATGTTATCATGTCCTACTAAAACGAGAACGTGGTCGTTCGTCTCGATAGACTTCGCGTAGGTACGACCCTTCACGGTCAACTCGACTTGCCGAATAATACTGGCTGATTAAATACGACCTGTAGATGCGAAAATTAATTTTTTTCCGGCACTTCTTTCAATGTCCATACACTGACGAGAGCAACAAGAGTAACTAGCTAGCAGTGACGTAACTTGGTGAGAATTTTGGATATGGGTGGAAAGTTAATACATTTTTTTGTATAAAAAGTTAGCAAATTTTAGAACTTGCATTCCGTTTATTTTGGGTGAAAAAATGTCGTCGTACTATTGACTATCAGTCAATTATTTTCAAACTATTATCGAGTATTTATCCATATTTTTGACGAATATCTTTAATGTTACTTTTTTTTCATCAACACGTGGAGTATAAGTTACAATTCAGCATTAATATATTACATAATATATTGGTCTGCAATTTCACAGTGTTCGAAATTCCGAATTATCGCATGTTTGATTTTTCGTTCGAGTTAAGGATTTGAATTCAAACTTATGACAAAGGTGACAAGACAGTATTTTTGCCCCCCAATCCGTAGATAAAATATACGGGTTTGAAAGAATGGAACAGTTCCCCTCACTCCATAGATACACCAATGTTTATTAGTACCCATATACTATGACCTCACTTACGAATTAACGTTTATCAATCGAAACATTGTCAATCTTGCCGTCTATAATTACAATCTCCTTGGTCCATGACTAACTTGGCCCTAACAGATTTGTGCGAAGTATTATAAAAAGTGTATCATTTTATCAACGTTTTGGGAAGTTTTTTTAACTGTTCACGGGAAAAAATAATACAAAAATAAATAAATAAAAACAGTTTGTCTGGACTTGTCTGGGTCATTCTGATAATTTTTGTTAAGAAAAAAAACCAGTTCGTTAATTATAGCGATTAAGGAATAAATTCAAATAACGTTGGTGAAATATTAGAAAAATCAATTAAAAACCGTTTCCAAAGGAATTTATCGAAAATTCCGTTTTACGATGGTGAGGTTTCTAACGCATTCAGCATGAAACACTATTAAATCTGACGTGTTTGTCAAGAATACGTTTGGAATATAACGAATCTGTCGTATTTAACTGCACCCGTGATATTATTTCTTCGATTGTATTTTCTTTATTACAAATGTTTGAATTCAAAATCTTATTTATAATGTTACAGTACCGCATGTTATATGCTTCAAATCAGTATTAATATTGTATTTTTTTTTTTTACATTTTTTAATCTATTAGTATTAAACTCTTCAGCTTATATTAATATTATAGTTTATTATTTCGTTCGAATTGTTAACACATTTTGAGCAACATATGTTTTGAGAATATTCTAATGGTGTACTCGTATGTTAAAAAAATAATAATTGTCTCATTTCAATAACCAAAAAATAAAAATAATAAACTATTCTTCCCGTTCCACATTTCACGAGCTACATCCGGTGAAATACGAAATTCATTGTCATCGTTGCACCCGTGACTTGTTATTAAGTATTATTCTATTCTCGTTTTGCTCAAACATCTAATCGATACGATATCGATCGTTATTGACGAACCGGCTAGGATTTACCGCGTTCATACCGCGGACCACGGGTATTTAAGTGGTTCCGGTTTTACGCATACCAACGGTCGTTTCGTGAAACTGTACACTATGTATACCTACCGAAAAAATTATCGATCGACGGTGTTATTTAATTTTTTCCTCATTCAAAGTATCGTACATATCCAAACCGACTGAAAACATTAACAGCTATTACAACTCGTCATTGCGGTGCGTAGGTTAGCCGACGATCTGCCACGGGCTCAACGTCGAACGCGTAAACCTGTCTCGCGACCAATCGAGCCATGTCATCCGTTCTACGCTAAATAACCGAATTAATTCGGGTACACGCATTAATGTACAGATCTCGTATAATGTGCGTAATATCATACCATCGACTTCAATATGTCGATGCTTTCTTCGATCGTTACACGTACCTACGTATCAGACGCGTTTATCATTATAATCAATTATCATTCATCTGACAGCTGGTGATACCCGACTACTTGTTTCAACCACTCCTTTGCCCGTGATATCGCTACCGTTATCATATTGTTTACTAAATGTTCGCATGGATATGAGAATAACTTCGAAAAGAAATTAGTGATCCCGGCTTTGACAGAACTAATTATTAGCATGAGATGTATTAATACGATAACGTGACACTACTTGATTAGATATAATAATTAGGGAAAATGTATTAGCAAAGAAATCATCCAAGACAAAGATTTATAATAGATCATTTTGATTAATTGACGTTATCATATGTGAAGTATAAAATATCTTAATACTACCATAAAGTATCGAGTACATAGAATCATATGTATAAATACGTATTAAAATAAAACAAAATAGTATTAAATTATAACACAGAACATGCTACTATTTTAATAATTCGTCTAAAATGGTAGCTAAAGGTCCAATATTAAGGTATTATATTTTTTTATTTATACTTTATTGAGGTATCATATACCCATTGTGGATATACTGGGCCAATCGATTGCACCACTGCTCATATCTATTGTAAGGCTTTTAAAGTCTTTTTATAATTGATAAAGGGAGAATACCATTTTGTCTACTATGCAACACTATATTCACATATTATTGCTAATTATTGCGCATTATTATTTGACTTCTACTTTGCCATTATAAATATTCACCCTTACTCTCTGACCAATGATCAAATTCAAGATGGTTTGGAAATGACCACTTAATTTTTTCTTACGAGCTGGTGGCTGATTATTGCTGGTAAACAGAACTGAACTATTCGTAAACACTAATTCAGTTCACAGTAGTAGATGTATTGAAAAAATAAGTATGACAAACTTGCCACAATTATTCATATGAAACACTATACAATCATACATATGTATTTTTAGGTGATGCATCTTATACTCGCATATTGACCCTGAGTTATTGCAGAAAGATTACAAGAACTGTTAAACCGTTTATCTCGAAAGACACGAAACATTAATTTTTTAATTTTTTTAGGGGTAGAATTCGGAATTCGATATCTTACCATTTACTTCAAGGTTGTTTTAAATCGGTTAATAATTTTTCGCGCCACGAGAACCACAAAAAAAATATACGTTTAACCTTATGGTGATTATTTATTACTTCTTACGTCTAGAACAATAATTGTATTTATTCGAATTGTTCGAATAAACAAACATTAAAATATAATCGCTTTATATAAATCCTGTTTGATCTTAAAAATCACACTAACTAAAAATATTAAAAAAAAAAGTATTTGCAGAAAAATCGTTTTTTAGGTCAACAGGACAACCAAGGCTATTATTAAAACCTCATTATCATTCCTTTAATTTCGGCTCAACGTTTTAGTATTGCTACATTATCTGATAAGACAGACAGAAACAGTATGCAAATTAGTTTCACGTCCTTTTAAGACTTAAGTACTCCGTAAAAACCGGTTTTAAGGATTTATAAAAACAAAAATTTTAAGTTAATTTCTTTATAAACTGTTATTTGATTGGTTAAATACATTCAATTTCGTCTTCATCTTGCACGATTTCTAACAATTATTATTTTTAAAATTTGATATATTATCTGGTCCCATTATCTTTATCGAAATATTTAAGATTCAAACTTCCATTAACTACCACCACAAGATTCCTGGACCTGAGCACTCTACGTTTTATTATAAATTTCACAAATGTGATTCTGTTTTCATAACACCGATGTTGGAAATACTGCAGGTTATAGTTTCTAATTTTTAATGTTATCATCAAACGTTATTTTTTTTCCTTCACCGAGTTATTAAAATGAATAAGATATTAATATCTATTAATATCCTTACCGTTCAACAGGGTTTTGATAAGAAATAGTTGTAAGATTTTAATTTACCGTATAAATGCCTGCGAAACTTTTACGTGGTTATAGATATCTACGACTGTGTAACGTGTTTTCTATGGTCAAATCATTTTAAATGGTAATAATATACGAAATTTTATAGTGAAACTTATATTTTAGATATTAATGAGTATGCAACATCGAAACCCCACTATAAAAATACGTTTACAAAACAGAAATTATGAGCAAACGTGACGATCAATTATGGTCAAAAGCGTATTTCATTTGCACTCGTCTATTCAAAATAATGGCTAATAAATTAGTATTATATTACTGCGAATGCATTTGCATTAAAATGATTGCGATATTTAATACTAACGTTATAGCCTAATAGTAATTGGTTCAATAATAGTGTTTGCGTTTGTACAAGTGTATCGTTTAACGAGTAGCGTTTAATTTGCATATAACATTGGTTATATACTCTTGATTTATTCAATTACATTCTTACGGGGCGGATAACACTATTAATATGTACAATGTATTATGTAATACTTAAACGTTAATTAAACAATGTAGGAAAGTGTTGCATTACACGTATTATTCATCAAATATAAAATCGGGGATTAGTTTAATAAGTTTAAAACGCACAAGTCAATGATTTATTCGTATCTTTTAGCTGCACCAATTCTTTGTGTTCTACTCGTAATAATATACTGATATAGAGCTTATACTATGACTATTATTATTAATTATATACCTTCGTCGTCGTCATCGTCGTGATTATGATCATAATATAAGGGAAGGCAGCATCCCGGAGGCTATTACTTTTGGTCAAGCGTGGATCATCCAGCTTAGTTAACGGGAAAAGCGGGTTATGAACAAGTATACACGTTTAAACATTTACTCATAATTAAGAATTTTTTTTTTTAATATATACATATACAACACCTTTATAATTTATAACGAATACTTTTTTTAATTTTTGTATAAAAAAAAAAAAAACTGATACATTGTAGCCCCTTTCAATTTACAGACCGGAGGCTATAGCCCCTCCTCATGCCCCTCTTGACCTAGCCCTGGACATGTGGATCCTTTTGCTTGGTATTGACAATCATAATTTCCCACTCAGAACACGACCCTCATTTCGGACACTCCACAGCAAGCAACCCTTTTTTGTTTAGAATACCATACGATCGTGTGACCGACACGAGCATAAACCAGTACCGCCGAGTCTCATCGTATTGTTCTATGTTAATATTATTTTTTGTTTTTAATTGTTCATTTACGCGAGTCAATTAGTCTCTTCGCGTTTATCAACAATGTGTTATTAACAATTGGCTCGTGTCGTTTCATTGTTCATACGGTTTAACCCTTATTAACGCAGCTATAATCGTCCAGGAATTTTGTTGACCCAGCCCTGGTAGTGATCATAACAAATTGTTAATACACGATACTATGTAAATTTTTTTCACATTATTTATTTTTTCTCAATTAAAATCAGACTATATTACCAGTCTTATTTTTGGTGCAACACGATTGCGCAATTTTTCCCTTTTTGACCCGAATAATTACATCACGATTACGCAAAAAATTTGTAACACGATTGCGCCCCGATCCCTTTTTACCTGATAAAATCACAACACCATTGCCCACCAAATTATATGTGTATATTCTATACTATGTATAATAATTTATGTACAACATAAAATAATGTATACAATACATGTTTTCTAAAATTTGCATATACACACACTCAAACTATTAATTTACAAAATTCACTTTTTCAAAACCGAAAGGAAAATTTGATTGAGCTAATAATAGTTATATTAATAATATCGACTAATGAATATCAGTAAAGAAAAAAAAATTTTAATAAAAAAAAAAATTCGACTACTGGGAAATTGTGAATTAATAGGTAATAAGTTTGAGCGCATGTATATGAAAATTATATGTAGAAAGTATGTATTGTATACATTATTTTATGTTGTACATAGTATATACACTTATTATTATTTGGTGCGCAATGGTGTTGTGATTTTATCAGGTAAAAAGGGATAAGGGCGCAATCGTGTTGCAAATTTTTTGTGCAATCGTGGTGTAATTAGCCGGGACAAAAAAGGGAAAATTACGCAATCGTTTTACAGCCCTTATTTTATACTACTAAACGCTATACATGCAAAACGAGGAAATGGTATGAAATTTTACAGAGAAGAAATAATAAAAAAAATATACCGATGAGGTAGATCATCAATAGCCCTACGTGATGAATTCTATTTTATATACGCTCATTTGTACGAAATACGATTAACGTTTATTAATATTTAATTTTAATGGATTTCTATTATTTTCGTAAAAGATGACGGTATGTTGTCCGATTCAGTCGACGGACAAGAGTGTAAGGGAGGGTTCGAAATGAAAGACGAGAAACTTAAGTATTCGGATATGTTAGTTCTAACCACGTGGTTGATATTTTTCGTGTTCAGATACCGAGAAGCATTCGATAATCAACATTGGCTGGCAAATGCGAGATGACGACTGCGCGAAGAGATATACATATGTTGTACAGAGCTTGAATGGTACGATTCGACGATAAAGTTCGGTGGCATCATCTCACATTCGTCACAAAACAATAAATTAAAGGCCATATCCTTGGGAGGGGGAGAGGGGGGTTAGATATTTTCTAAAATTTTTTCTTAAAAAAAAATTTTTTATAAATTTTAAATACCTATTATATTTGAAATTTTAAAATTTTCTATTCAAAAAACATATATAAACTCTAACTCCACCCCAAATATCTTGATAACAATGGCCTTGATCAAGACATATGATTGTATGCACGCGTGTGTGTAAATAGTTCTCCCAGGGTTTTCGGCTCAAAGAAGGGCTCACTTACAACTGCGGACCGTATATTAGCTCTAGGAGCTATTGACGATCCGTAGAGGCAAACCGCACCGACGCATACCAGGTCGTCAAAGGAACCACCAGTCCCCCGGGATGTCATGTCGATCATGGTCATCAATAATATGACCGCGGGTTTCATGTCCCGACGATCACCTCGATCGAGGGCGAAAATTAAAGACAACTTAAAGCGGTTGGATCCCACGGGAGGCTAACCACTGCCACGAGATGCGCTGACTGACGCCCCAGCGGTCCGAGATCACGCCTGTCGTACGCGAGTACATCCCGAGTGACTTCTCTGAGACTACCGATTAATTTTTAAACCGAAAATATACTCATGTCCGGTGTATAAGCGAAAACTATTTACATATTATCGGTTTTTTGGCGGAATGCGTATAATTGAAAATCGAACAGATATATATTTGCCCTCGTTAGCTAGTTATCGTTATTGTTTCGTTAGTGTTCGGTAGACACGCGGTTCCCGGGTCGGTAGCGCACACTTCCAGTTCCGGTTGGTCGGCGACGGGGTCGCGGATAAGCGCGGACCACGGCCCGCCGGTCATCACCCGAGCCAGGGTCCGCTGAGCTTTTTCGTCTCTATTCCCACGCGTACCCCAACCGGTTTCCGTAGGCGCGCGCGGTTTCGACCCGGGCCCCCGGATCCGTCGGAAGTTTCACCCGCGCGTGTACTCGCGCAACGTTCGTCGCGCGCCGTAACACCGCGACAACGATAACCGCGGCGAAGGCGGTCGGTGTCTCGCGCGCGCGCGCTCTCTCCCGATCCGAATCGTTACCGGGCACGTGCGCAGAACAAGCGGACGGATAACAGCAGACCAGCATATACCGTCCCGTACGCGTCTGTTCTCGCCTACGCCTGCGCATTATTGTTCGTGTTCGCCACGTCACGTCCGCGTCGCGTGACACGTCGTTTCGCACGTGCTATCCGTACCGGTGGAGGATCTGTACCCCGACGACGAGTGTTGCGCGCGGCGCACGCGAATTCGGTAACGGACGGGGGCGCGATCTTACGCCCGGGACCGGTCTCGAGACGGGTCGTGTTTGTCGGACCGGCTGTTCGTTGCGCCTAACGGATTCGACGCGTCGTAACACAACTCTGCAGTGCACGGCGTGTAAATTGTCTCGCGATAACGGTGTTTTTTTTTTCTGTCCTTAACACGATTTGTAATATTTAAATTTTTTTTTTTCTTCTTCTAGAATATAACTGTCGAAAATCATTTCAGGTCGTCCGGGTCGGAGGTGTATGGCGACTAGGCACGCCCCTCTTCTTTTGAAGTCGTCACTGTATTTAGAAAGAGCAGTATAATTATTTACTTATAACGTATTACCAATGCAATATAGAGAATAATAAATTATACGCGAGGTATAATTTATAATATGTTATGTAAATGTATTGATATGTAATGTTCGTAAAGCCTAAATATCAAGAAATGTAGATTGAAGGTGAAAACGACAAGTCGTTTGAACCTATTCACACGATACGCGAATCCAGCAATATCGGAGGGTAACATGAGAATATAAGGTATCACGATGTACGTCATTGCCAGATACCGCATGAACACGGGTAGAACGCCTACCATTTTTTAGAAGATTATCAGCACTGGTCAGCGGCTTAACAAGCTTACAACAGTGTGCTTTATGATTTAAAACTTATAACAGTAAATTGTTTTACTTTATTCAATAAAGAGTCAAAATGTTTAATTGTTTTATACCTACGTTTTTCAACAACATCTCAGGACTAACGACTACGTGCTACGTCGTTTAAATAATAATCGTAACAGCGTTCAACGTGTTTCACTAAACCACTGACAGTACGACCCAGAAATCCCGGACCACCCAGGAATATCAAAATATAAAATCATTATTAATAAGTTGGAACATTTTTTTTTTTTTTGTTCGAAAAATTAAATAAGTTATTTACGCAATTAATTTTTTTTAATTTTAAGCCATTTTCTGATCATATTTTCGACACGGTTTAGAAAAATATTACAATTAAGAGGAATGTAGTTAAATTAAAAATAGAACAAGTTTTTGATTTCGTAAAAATAATAATTAGGTACATTAGCAAACCATAAACCGAATGTCTTAATGAATCTCTAATGGAACGCACGCTTTTTTCTTTGATCTCCATCACAGATTTGAACGATACATTTATAATATTATATTAGAAACATAAGAAAATGTTAAAAATGCCTGGGTCCAAAAACTTTCACTCAAAATGTGTTACAAGTAATGGAAACAACTTCGAATATTCATAAAAATAATTTAATAAATTAATTGTTTTTAAGTATTAAAATTTAAAATAATTTTTTTCTTAAATTATGGAATTTATGAAAAAAAATTTAGCTTAACATATGCCATCCATTATGAATTTTTTTATTTAATTAAAAATAATACTTACTTAACTTCCATTACATAAATTGCTGTATATTGTTTAGATTTTAAGATTTGGACTTTAAGTCCGTTATTATGAATAAATAAATAAATACTGTAAAATAATAAATCCAATTAAATACGAGTATATTGATTTTCCACGGGAATACTAATAAGGAATTTTTGGCATCAATGGTGGTTTTTTTTAATTTTTTAGTTACATATACATACATTACAGTATAGTACTGTAAAACGTAGTAATTTCAAGGAAAATATAAATACCTAAATAGGTAATAGCTGTAACAAACGTTCAAATATACGGATATATAATTGAATACACCACATTTATATATAAGCGTATATCCGCATATAAAGTATAACATATCTCAACCTATACGCGTCACGTGGTGAGTCCAGATCCCTTGGACCCCCCCCCCCTCTCAGCCCCGTAAAACCACCACTATTTGGGATTATTACTGTATACTATAGAATGTATAGTAATACCGATGGGTACGCCACAATCTATTTGAAATCTGTCTGTATAATAGTAATATCAAACGCAAGACTGTTTAACGGTTTTAAATTAAATAACTGAAATCAAGTGATAAGTGTCTAACAAGTGCTAATCAAAATGTTACCGCTAACCACCCACATAAACCCAGCTCTTACTCATTATCTTCTTGTCCGTGTAAAGTATGTGAATAATTTCGTTCTATTAAAAAAATCAACCACCTTTCACTTAAAGGTCATCCGGTTAAAACTCGCCGAAAAAACAACGGCCTTCGATATCTTCTCTGCACAATAATTAAAATTAAAAATTCTTATAAAGTCGATAGCGGCCAACCTTAATGCCACAACTGATAAACCTACATCTATACTAGACGATTTTGCAGTCATCCATCACCAGTGGCGCACGCAGGGGGGGGTGTTAAGAGGTTGTAAACCCCGCCCCCGAAATTGTCTCCGCTGTCTCCGATGTTTACAAATTTTACAAGTTTGAAATATGAAGAGCTAGTATTGAATACCTAATATCATTGATTATAGAATAGTCTATTCTATTATCAATGCTATTATATATATATAATTTTTACCACATTGTTCATTGCTCAACGAATTTAAAACCTTATTAAAAATTTGAACAATTTAATCATATAATTTTTCTTACTGATTTACTGATGGTATTTATATACTCGTATGTATACTTAATGTAATATATATATTATATTATATAATGTAATTTTAATCTGTAAAAAATAAAATAAACCCTGCTTTTTAATTTTAAGATAAAGCCAGTGTTGTAAAAAATACTTTTAAAATTGTATTTAAATAGTTTTCAAATACTTTTTTATCTTTCTTTACTACTAGTCGGTAAACCAAATTAATTTTGTAATAACTAATTTTAAAATACTATACATTCAAGTATTATTAAAAGTTTTTGTACCACCTTCTTAATTATACTTTACTGAAAAATGAGAATAAATAAAACTTGTTTTATAATTAGTATAGCAATTCTTTAATATAAAGTAATAAAATAATTGTTGAAGAGGATATACAGAGCATTTAAAACAAATCATTCTCAAAAATTTTTGTTGTACTTTAGTTTTTTCAAAATGTTCATCATTCATTTTTTCTCTTTTTTTTTTTTTTGATAAAATAGCTCCCCCAACACTAAATATTCGTTCAACTGGAGCATTAAACAGCAGTGGAGTATTATACTTGATAAGAACTTTCTTTAATTCGGGAGTCGAATGAAGAGTTTCAGCTATAGGTGTTCTCAACATTAATGAGTGAAAAAATATAAAATATAAAATAGTATAATTTAAAAAAAAAAAATGCGATGACTGACGATTGAATTTTTAAAAGTATTTGTATATAAGTATTTGATTTTCAAATACAAATACGTCCAAGACAGTATTTAAAATTCTTCCCAAATACTCAAATCAAAAATTATTTTAAAAGTATTCTAAATACTACAAAATTATTTAAATAAATTGAAATACAAATACTTTACAAGACTGGATAAAGCCTAATGAATATGTATTTTCATATTTTTTTTCACGGTATGCACCGCATTGATAGGTCAAATATGGTATGGTACATCGTATGATTTTATTGAAAATGTTCCTCGTAAGACAAACAAAACGAATTAATCTTTCTGCAGCATAACACTACGTGCTAAGCATCTGTTTGTTATATATTTGCGAGCGCGAGTCAAGACCCAGCCAGTACACCAATGACGGTCCAGTACACCAATTAAACATCACCAATCGTGTTTGAATTATGAAACACTTGGCTACTTTCTGATCTAAAATACGATTATTTAGTCCCGGGGAGATAAAATACCCTTGGTAAGCACTGCACCATGGCATAAGGCCGACGAATAATTGCACAACGCGTTACATTTATAACAAGAACGTGTGTACTACGAGTTAACGCGCATAACAAAACACGAGTTATGAATTAATATTATACATATAATTATAATCACTAACACGACGTATCCTATAAATACACGTTTACCAAATTTAATTCGTAGACGACTTAAAATAATATACGTATATGTTCAATATTTTATATTCAATCGATTAAAATATTTAAACGGTACGACCAAATCATTGAAAACAAATGTTTACCATGAATACATTTCGCTCAACAAAAATTATGAACATTCAATCACGAAATTCCGTGATTATGGGATGATTATAATTAAACGTCAATTTGATTTATTCAAAGACTAAAAAAATTATGCGTGTGCAAAATTACGTTAAGCCACAATGATGCTGCATTAAAATACTAATTAAGTTTAATAAAATATAAATGTGTACAAACTTAGATCATTAAACTTTGCTACTATTAATTAATCCTACTAGTAAATGTATCTAACTATTTATGCATTAATAAAATAATAAAAAATGTAAAGTAATTAATTTATGTATGCTTTGACGTGTAAATTGAAGCGTAATATTAGACTATACTTTACAAAGTAAATTGCATAGATAAACATAATTTGAATATAATTATAATATAATATAATGTTGTTAAATTTCCACGTGATATATGAATACTATGTTATTCTATGAACTAATAAGTTAAACTGCCGCGTTAATGTGTTATATTTACATATAAAAATAACGTTTTACGTTAGGCTCGGTAAAAGTTGATTGTTGTAAAACTATCAGGTTCTTGTTAATGTGTTTAATATACAGTAACACAAATACATATATGCATATATATATATTTATAATATGGTAATATGTTAAATCTGTGTACATAAAAATATACTAAAGTTTATATACGACCAGTAACGTAAATGCAATAGATTTATCACTATTATTATATTTTTATAACATATCAGACGGAATTTGCAGTTAACAACCCTTGAAGATGCTTTTTAATCGTAATCGTTAGACCGCGGACAGCTGCAGTTACTGGTTCGCAATAAGGTATGCTAATGAACTATACATCACGCACACACATCCACATGTATAAGTATACATGCTAAATACGGGCGTCTGGACGTCCAACCCCAAATACATTTTGCCTTTTATGTAGAAGGGACAACAGGGGAGCTAACCATATGTAACCCGATTAATTTTAGACTGGCTATTTTTATTTTTATTTTTTTTTACCTACGATGTTCTCGATCAACAAAAAGCCTTTATTTTCACAATCGTTCGAACTACTTAATATAAACGTCAGATAAAAACGCAATGCGTCAGATTTATTTTACAATACACGATCTCCGTCTCGCTTCCCTTCGATGCGTTTGTATATGCGCATATGCAATTATAACGGCTCGTCCGTATTATTATACAAATCAAGCCTAATGGTTTCGGAATTGATTTGATAACCATCGCATTAAAGTGTTCTTCGGTACGGGTTCACTATTGCATGAACATCAAACATAAAATAATTTTATCGAAGGATAAACATTGAAGATCATTTATCTATAAATATCATTTATACAAGAATGTAGTGTACAGCTAAGACGAACACATTTCAATAAGATATCCGGAAAATAATCCCAACACCGTAAAGATTAAAAATTTGAAATTAAATCCGCAAAAATATTTCTTGCGAATCGAAAAGACTTTAATTTTCTGAATGATAAGTACGTTTTAAACTCGTGATTCCGATTAAGTATATCGAAAACTACGGCAGCCAATATAGACGTTTCAGGCATAAGTTACAAACTCGACAACTTAAAATACTCAAGTCGTCCGAAGGATCCATAGAAATCACTTAGTTTTCGTTATCCTTTGGCTTTACCTAATATAAACTATCGACTTGGAAGATCTTCCGTATTATAATTAACAGAACGGTATTGCACAGCACGCAAAAAACCATCATGAGAGAGAGAAAATAATTTATAGGATGAAGTGTTTACTTTTATTTAGTCTAAAAACTAAAAAAAATAGTTTTGGGTAATCAAAATGTTAATGCTAATTATTTTATTTGCTCCTAACAATGTATGTCTTATTGCAAACATATCGTACAAT